CCCCTGTGCAGTAAACTTCTGACACTAGAATCTTTTCATAATCCATTTTGGATGTAAGCTGTGGTAACATCTGAGACACCTCGACCCTGAAGCTTCTCTATCTAATTCTTTCTGTTGACATCATCTGCTCCACAACACAAAGAATCTGGTTTACTTGTTCACAGGCCAATCAAACGTACTGTAGTGTTTTTGGTACCTCACCTAACATTTGCAACACGTGTGCCGTTGCCTTTATGCACAATTCACGTGTAATCTCTTACTTGCGTTTGCTTCTTAAAGGAAAACATACAGAGGCTGAACCCCCATGTATAGAGGGTTGGGTTAACTTTCTTTTAAAGGCAAATAGGGACATCTAGTGGTGATAGATGGAAGGGTTCTTGCATGAAGACACGGGATATATACAGTGTGACCATCCACACTGTATATATCCCGTATCCTGTATCCTTCTTCCAATAAATTAAAGCAGAAAATTGTGTCTATTCGACGGTGTACAGGCTGGATAATCCACCAGTCCATTTTAGCTCTATAAACAGAAATAAAAACAAAATAAACAAAAAATAACTTTGTAAACACTCATACTCATACAGTGTTGGTCATTTTTAGATCAGTCCAATGGAAATTTAGACCCCATTCAACCTGGTAAATTGTAAAAATGTTAAGTTATTATCGGTGTCCCGTATGTTTTGAATGCACAAATATTCACAAATACATTATAATTACACATCTAATCTGATGGCTAAAAATGTAAACTTGAATTAATAATCATTCTTACATTTTGAAGTCTTACATTGCTGTTGTTGTTCATTCATCATTGTTTCTTAAAAACTTTTTTATTCTTCCTTCCTTTCATTTCTACAGTGAGTTTTCATCTCTTTGTTAATTTCATGGTTCTTCGTGCAGAAAGCTTTCCCAAACCCCACAGCTGCACCTCCTGGGCTCAGAGGGTCTTTTCAATAACTCCCCCATGTCTGTCTCTTTACGCAATTCATCTCCTTGCTTTTCCTTCTCTCTAATTAGCCTTCATCACGGAAACACTTTGGGCCGCTCAGCCGTCCCACAAGTTAACAAGTCATAAAGCTGTGCAATCAGCAACTTGACTCCACACTGTCACTCTCTCAGCGGCCGTTTGGAGGCACAGTTAAACAGAGAATCGAAGGAGCTATAAAGTGATGTTTGCTCGGGGAGCCTGGTGAGGATTCACTTTTTCAAAAAGCTTAAAAGAATGAATTAAGCCTATTGGCTGCCAAAGACTTGACAGCTCATTGATTACTTACATAAAAGCCAAAGAGCTGAGGTGTATACATATACATATATGTATATTTACGCCTGAAATAAGAGGCATAATTAGCATTAAATGCCTATAATAATGATAATGATAATAACAACACTATTATTGAATTGTCAATTCTGTATTTTTCAGTAACCCTGTTTATGAAATCTTGGCCATGAAAGTGGCCCTCTTGTCACTGCTTTTAAAAAAAACTATATTATAACCTAAATTTTAGGATTGTAGGGCCTGTTGAATATGTTTTTAATCTACAGACTAAAGGAAGTAATTGCCGTACTTCCCTTTTATTACAGTTATTGCAGGAAATACTGATTCAATAAATTACTGGACAGAGAGATTGAGGAAGACCGTAAGAAAATAAAAACAATCTGAATAGTGATCTGCAGGTTTACAGATATTTCTGAGATGGTGAGCATTATAAAAGAAATAGCTTTCTCGCTCTTGAGAAGTTGGGAATTTCCATAAACTTTTATATTGACGATTCTGGGATTTGTAACCCTCTTGGAACCTCACATAATAGAATAGGCTTTGTGGTTTATATTGAGTCTTGAATCTGAATTGAAAAAAAAAAGTTGAGCAGTTGTACTTGAACATGAAAACTCAATGAATGCTTTCTCTGCATGTTAAGTAGAATAAAGAAAATCAATGTATATAGTGTCTATAAAATGGAGCACTAGTTTACAAGATTTGACATATTCTCATGTTTGCAAAAGGTGTGATAGCAGCATCTTAGTAATTTTATTACTTTTGATAGTTTTTGCACAAATCCCAAAATATAGCTTTTGGGCAAATTATTTTAGAGGTGTTGAATATTAAGTGAAGAAATGCCCACATTTTGAAGGACTGTTTTATTTTCCATGCATTTCGACAATATGAGATAATAATTATAATGTAGATGTGGTTCTTTATCATCGTTGCCCCAGAGGAATTCAGCATATCCTCATTGCTTTTGATGTTTTGTAGTCTCTTACATGCATCAAAATCTGATCTGCACAAATTTCTCTGCAATCCCTACGTTAATTTAAGTAAATCAAGAGAAGACAGGCCAGTGCAATATCCCATCTCCCGCAGTTTTTGACTGCAGAATTCCTACCTTATGCATGAAGTCAATAGGACAACGACCCTGTGAATGGCACTTATTTGCTGTCATATTTTGAAAACCAAGGTAAGGCAGAGTTTTTGTTCAAGCAGAGGGGATTAATATTTACTTCTGAATAACTGAATGTCTTCTGCTCTCATTCAGCCTTGTGAAAATCCTTCATTCTAAACCAATATTTCTTGTGTTGGGTTTTTTTTTTTGGGGGGGGGGGGGGTGGATAGGATATATATCAAGTAGTCTCTAGCTGCAGCTGTCTGACAGTGACATACTTGCCTGAATGTGGTTGAAAAAAAATGTGTGTTTTCTGTGTGTGTTTCTTTGGAAGCATTTGTTTTCCAGGAACTGAAGCAAAATTTAAAAAGGTTTGGAGAAAATGGCTTGTTTTCTAAATGTTACAATTGCACTATTGTGTCAGGAGATTTATGGCACACACCAATAACTAGATTTAAGAGGATCATTTCAAGCTAGGAGATAGATTTTTTAGATTGAGTTTTATGTATAATAAAATAGAAAGATAGTAGCAGAGAAAGCTTCATTAGTCTGACGTTTGTCTCACGAAAACATCTTTGAACAAACTGCATTTTCATATTTTATAGGTTACAGCAGCGGTCTCCAACCCCCGGTCTGTGGACCAATACTGCTCCATGGGTCATTTGGCACTGGGCCCAGTGAAACAATTTACAGAGAACCACCATATAGTATAGTGTAGAGTATTTCAGATCTCTCCAACAGTCCAAAACCATGCAGGATTAACGTCATTTGACTGGATACATTCCCCAGGTGCAAGAACATGCATGTGTTTGGCTCTACCAAACCTGATGCCCTTCCCAGGAATGCTGGGATTTGCTCCAGCTCCCTCTGAAATCCCTAAAAGAATTAGTAAAGGCAGTAGAGAATTAATATAATAATAGCCATTTGTACAAACAATCTGTTTTTCTAGTAGTAGAAGTAGAAGACCCAAACTGGTCATGCTAAAACTTTTGTATAAGTCTTAAATGAAATAATGAATGATATTTTTGTAAAAATGTAGTTTTTAAACCTAACCTTTACTCTAAATAGACTTTTGTTCACTAAATTCAATGGAACACAAAAATAGAAAGTTTTTATTCTAACTTCAGTCTGTTTCACTATTATATCATAAAAATAATAAATACTGAATGTAATTAGCTATATTATCATCTATTGGATTTCCTACCTTAGTTTTTTCCATTAGTTACACTTCCTGTTCCTGTGTTGCTGATGAACTCCTTTCTTTCTTTTTCTTTCCAGAAACAGTTGCTGTGCTGTTTCTGAAAATGGTAGTTGACTTTTCCCACTCCTTGTCCAGCAGTGATAGCAGCAAACTTTCAATCATCTTGAGCTGCCATTTTTGGTCCAGCCATCACAGGTCCAGTCAGTTCCATCTGCAGCAGCCACTGCTAATGCTGTAGTCATTATTGTGTCCACTCCACGCCGTGAGTTGCTGAGCTGGAGACGTACACTCCAGCTGGCACAGATTGTTTCGGTCTACTTCTAATTCTGTCGACTGTCACAAAGCCTGCAGGATGTCGCATCCAGCTCTGAGCCACCCAGTGGGACATAATTATTGTGTGTTTCCTGGTACACCACCCAGCTAGGCTGTAGAAACAACATCCATATACTTCTCCCATCACCTCAACAGCATCTCAACTTTTCACATTGTAAAGAAAGTGCATGCCTGTGTGCACACATAGGGGTTTGTGTGCATTGTGTTCTGCTGAAAACAAGAACACAACTCCTAGACTCAGTGTGTGTGTCAAACTAGACAAACCAGCCATTTATTCCCCATGGCAGAAATGTGTGTCTTCTCCAGGTGACTGTGACAGATCGGGGGCTTCACTGCAGTGATAGGGAGCCAAGGCCATTGTGCTTGTATTATTCATGAGAGCCAGGAATGTCTAGTTGGCACGCTGCTTTGGCACCGTACAGACAGCGCAGCAGCAAAATAATGGGAAGCTGTAGCTCACTGCTGTGTCATCAGCATCACAGTCTTATAGCAGCATCTAGTGCTCACCGTATGAAAATATATAGTGGGTAGAAGAGCAGCCTTACTTAACTTTTTTGTTTGATGCTTAAGGTATAACTTTTGCTCTTGTTTTTTCACTAAAGTTGACCAGAGACTTTGGACTGGAAAATATTATTACTGGCTTACAATACAGTACAGTACAGAAAATTATATTTAATGAAAAGGAAAATTAAAGGAAATAATAACACACAGAAAGATACAGCATTATAAGATGAATAATGTCAAACAAATATTTCTATGCATTTTAGTCAGATAAAAGTAGAATAGTTGGAAATTCAATATTTTAAAAACAATTTAAATATTTACAGCCACACATTAAAGTCCTAATATTTACATTTAAATATATATATGAATATAAATATATATATTTAAGTCATACCATGTTGCATTTTTGCATGTCTCCGTGCATGACGTTCTTTTATTAATTCAGTTTCAGTTTCAGTTTCAGTTTAATTTAATTTTAAATCATGTTCCACGCTAGACCATATACAGTACGAGTAATTGTCTTGTTTCCAACAGTCTTTGAACGCACCAACAGTTCAGCCACTTGTTGCAGCAGCAGCAGAGAGACGCCCCCTCCGTCACTCTCTGTACTTACGTGAAGCTCAGCTCGGCTTCATTTGTTCACTGAACACAGAGCTAGTAACAGAATAACATGGCTGCTAACAGAGTGATCATTTATGGAGGTAAAGGAGCTCTGGGCTCCACGTGTGTGCAGTTTTTCAAGTCTAAAGGATGGGTAAGTATTTTGGAAGAAGTACAAATATGCTAAGCAATGCTAAGTGTAAAGCTAACCGTCAGCCTCTGTTTACTTTTCAATCTGTGGTTGAATTGACAGTGGGTCGCCTGCATTGACATGGCAGCAAATGAAGAAGCGAATGAGTGCGTGATAGTGAAGATGAGCGAGTCTTTCACTGAGCAGGCAGGACAGGTGAGACACACACACACACACACGTTTCGCAGGCAGGACAGGTGAGACACACACACGCACACGTTTTATGCAAGCAATTTTCTGGAAAAAAATACATTTAGAATAAGAATAGCAACACAATATGCAGTATTAGTAATTGCAACAATAAAATTAGCCTGTTTCTAAAAAAACACAATATTTAAATTTCACTCTATGCTAACTTGTTTTATCCTGCAAATTTTGAATAAATAATCTATGAACTCTGATTTCTAACTGGGTTACTTTCTGACAGATCAGATAAAGGTAAAATGAGATCACATTATTATATGAGATAATATAATTATTATGTGATAAGAGAATGAGATCACATTCTAAGCTTTTATGGTACAGGGAAGTATGTATGAGGTTATTTGTGTAATCTTTGATTGAGATAAAATTGAGAAAAAAATATGAATTCATGTTTGTTTCTGCAATGATTAATTTATATTTCATGTTGGGTTGCTTAAAATTGGACAAAAAATAATTGGTGCATTGTTTTTAAGAAATGTATATATAGTAACAATAACAACCCTATGACTCTAATATGGGTTAAAGTTTCAAACATTACTGTATGACATTTTCCTTCCGTTGTGTGAGCCATCCTCTCAGAGCCAAACCCTGAGGCTTAATGAAAAGATGCTGACATTTGTGTCCTCTCCCCCCTCTCTCTCTCTCTCTCTCTCTCTGTGCAGGTGACAGCAGATGTGGCCCAGTTGCTAGGAGAGAACAAAGTGGACGCCATCTTGTGTGTGGCAGGAGGATGGGCCGGAGGGAAATGCAGTTCCAAAGGTCAGAGTTCAGTGTCTTTTGTATGACATCAACTAATACCAAGAATTCAGACCAGTTAACTGTAGCAATGTGCAGCTTTTTTTAAAGTTATAAAATATATCTGTATAACAAACTAGGTTATGATATACTGTGTAAATACTTCACCAATTACATGTGACTTTTTTAGATTTGTACAAAAACGCTGACTTGATGTGGAAGCAGAGTGTGTGGACCTCAACCATCTCCAGTCACCTTGCTGCTCGGCACCTAAAACCTGGTGGACTCTTGACTTTGGCCGGCGCCAAAGCAGCACTCTCAGGCACTGCAGGTAATACACACTACCAAACGTGTGTGCACACAGACACACATACAGGGTGTGTTTACTCTTCTCATCATGATGACCCAATCTGGCCTCGTGTGTCAGGGTTTCAGTCAGACTTTGGGTTTTTTTGGACACCACAATGAGTCTGTCAATTCAACTAATGCAGGGAACACATGGCATCTCAGGAGTTAGAATTGACAAAGTAATTACCGACATGGATTAACTCATACAGAGCAAATCTGTGAGGGGGGCTAAGTGGATCAATAAGATGGGTCAGTATCAAATAAATTGAGAATGCAAAGAATGCATTGAGAAAGAATAATTAAAAAATATCTTTCACAAGCCTGTAGTTTGACTCTCAAATTAGATTTTGTTTCCTCCTTCCAGCAGAATCCAGTCTGACCTACTCACTCCTCAGTTTGCACTTAGGTCTCGAAATGTCAATAGTACACAGTCCAAAAATCCAGAAAGTCAACAGCCGACCATAACAACTGATTATATTCCTGTATTAGAGGCTTTATTTGTCAGGCTAAATTATGCAGTTATTGTAATAGTGAAAATGAAACAAGGTGTCACGTTAGAAATAAAACCTGTCTTAAAATGACAACAGGGCTTTTGAACATATTACTTTAATGTCGTTGTCGAACACAAATGTTCATTTATATCAGCTTAGTGTTTCAGGGTTTTTTTTTTTCTGAGTGTGAGATGACGTGATGTGCAATGTCCTTTCTCCACCGCTTCAGTTGTACCTAAGGCCACTGTGTGATGGGCTGATATCCAAGTCTAAGTTAGAACAAAGCCTTCAGCTCATCACAGATCCCACAAGCTCATTGGCTGCAGGCTTAGAAAGGGAGTCAGCATTTGTGACAAAGCAGGCATAATCCACACAGAGACTTTTAACACACCTGGAGCAGCATTTACTGTCTCTGTTGTTCTGCCGTTGCTGGACGTATTAGGGTTCCATAGTCTAGTGGTCACCACATCTGCCTTACATGCAGAAGGTCCTGGGTTTGAGCAGCAGAACCACATATTTGGTACCTGCAAGAGGCAGCCTGTTGCAGCAGGGCTGCCAACAATATGCGCTGCAAAAGAAAGCTAGCTGGTTAACAGGATTGTGATCTTTTATTCTTGGAAACAAATGCAGGCTTGAGAGAAAGTCATGTATTGTTCCTGCTCCTCTTTCTCAGTTAGACTAAGCCGAAGTCATAAGACTGCTTTAGGAGAATGAACAGATGCCTGACATTCTTTAGGAGACCCATTAGGTGTCCACAAGGATAAGCATCGGTGATTCCAGGTGGTGGAGCAGTAAAACATTCTTGTTTCTATTGTGACCCTGTGAAAATGAAAAACTTTCTTCAGAAAAAAAAAAATATATATATATATATTTTAGACACTACAAAAGTTTTCTCTGACATATTTCTTGAGGTGTCGAGGCAAAAATCCTTGAATGTCAACTGCTGTCTGCCTGATTGTGCAGCATATATAATGCAGTGAGGTCTCCTAACCTATCAGTGGTAATAGAATAGACTGGTTTTGGTGTTTATTCCTCAGGCATGGTCGGGTATGGTATGGCCAAAGCTGCGGTCCACCAGCTGTGTCAAAGCTTAGGAGCAGAGAACAGTGGGCTCCCGTCAGGAGCTGCTGCTGTGGCCATACTCCCGTGAGTACTGTCTTCAAATATTGTATCATGGTCAGATAAGTAATAACTGATGCCTATGGTAAATACAGTAACAGAAACAGTCCCACCTTCGACAAATGCCTTTCTTTAGTCTTGCTTTTCTTTCTCAGCAAAACTCAAAGCCTTTAAATGCACATTTTTTGCCAGAAAGTCATTCACAGACATTTACAACACAGGGACATCGATGAATGAAAGAGCTGCTGAGCCGCTCTGTCTGTCTGTCTCTTTGTCTGTCTGTCTCTTTGTCTGTCTGTCTCTCTGTCTCCATCTCTACAGTCCTTCTAACTCCATGTGCAGTAAGTGTCTGAATGCCGTTTCCATGTCATTTAAGTTCATAGAAGAGTAAATTATGCTTTGCAAGTTTTTTATATATAAATAAATACTGTGTGTGTATATATATATATATACATGCATATTTGTATGTATATGTGCGATACATTTTAAACTATGCATATTTCATATTTAATTTTTTTTAAGAGAAGATATATTTTGTCATGGTCATGGAACGGTATTTGGGTTTCTTGTCATGACTTACACAGAGTGGCGTATCAGTCACAGTTTGAGGAGAAATGTGTTTTTATGGACCATATTTTTTGCTTTCGAGTAGTCTTCCCATGGTAATTGCAGCACATTAGTTGTACACACTTCACAATTCAACACAGTGACACAGTTTGAGGCTATGACGCCTTAGAAACTGTTCCCTGAACTCTCCTTTTCGCCCGTTTAACTTGGGAGTGTGAGGCAGTTGTAAGATGGACACGACTATCGCTCACACCCACAGCACCTCATGGTGCACATGATCTGTTTCTGATGAATGACTCACACAGCAGCCTTTAGATCACTGCTGCGTCTGTCTTCCCTCCCCCCTGAATACAGAGCCAGTGTTTCTGCATCGTCATGGTGAGATGCTAAAACGGCTCCAAATATTTTTTTTTTTTCTCAAATGGGGTGTTTCGCCGTCCTGCTCTCTGTTTGGTTGAATTTACCAACAATTTGAGGCAGGACTGCGTCTCCAGCATGCTGTCACATCTGTTCACCATTAGCCACATGACTTGCATTTCTTTTACTGTTTCCATCCCCCTTGAAACCCCGTGACTGCTGTACCATTATATACCAACTCTCGTCAGTGTTTTTTCCTGTAAAAGCCACAAGATACGGTCGATCCTTGACTTTTCATTCTTACCGATCACCCTCCTCCACATGCAAGAAAACTAAACATGCTGCTTTTTTTTTATTTCATAAACCTCTTTTTTTGTGGTAGATAGCAGTGATATTTTCGGAAAGTAAGAATTAATTCAAACAGGAATATTCATAGTATATTTGTCACTTACTAGCAAATTTGTTAGGTATATGTTGTGTAATATTATTTTCAGGATTGCATTCATTTGTTAATGATTTTGTGTATATTTCCTAGTATATCTGTTTTTAAAATACTTTTATTTATATACATTTTTATTATTATTACACACGTTAACATGCTTTAAGTGCCTTTGAGTAGCTATTGTTTCAGTTATAATTGGGAATTTGCACAAATAATTGCTTAAAATGTGTGACCCTGAAAATATTTGGGCACCTAAAGTCCCTATACGGCATATAGTTGATTTTAATGTCTTTAAATGCCATGTGACATTTGATCACGTCAGTATGGTAATATGACCATAACAATGACTTTATCTTCCTGTAACATCAGCATCAACCCTGAGTCTACACAGCAGTATGTGTATCTGTGGAGATTATCCGTTGTCAGATCTGCTCTGTGTCTGCCTCTGCCACCCGCCGCTTAGTGCTCACATCATGTACTTTAATTTGGCAGGGTTACCTTGGATACACCAATGAACCGGAAGTTCATGCCTGACGCAGATTTCAGTTCCTGGACACCACTGGAGTACATCGCAGAGTGAGTGGAAAAGCAAATGTATTCTTACTGTCATGTAACACTGAATACATCATGTCTATTTGATATTGATGGAGATTGTGTGGCTTTGGTTTATTTAATCATTGTTATAGCAATCATTATATACAATTTCTGCTTTCATTTATTCAGTTTTTAATTATTTCACCAATGCTCTCTTCTTCCTGCCGATGGCCATGTAACACTGTGACCAGTGCCTTTTCTATAGTGTTAAGAATCTCTCCAGGATATGTATGAAGATGCGATCAATCTCAAATGAAGAACCCTTGAGTTGACTGAGCCTCTACTATTAACTAAAACATAAAATATAATACGGTATATAAAGAACCAAAGGTTCAGTTCAGTAATATCATGATGGGATAAATTTGAGTATTGCATCACCGGTCACAAAACCTGAGCACACAGACATGTCCTAAAGTGACCTGGATGTATACTGTGTATAAGGACTGGAGGGGAGGTGGGGGGTATTTAAACTGATCTAATTTCTCTGTTTTTTTTTTTTTCTCCACAGAATGTTTTTCAACTGGGCAACTGGAGTTAATCGGCCCGCCTCTGGGAGCCTGATGCAGCTGCTGACCTCTGGAGGCGAAACGCAGACCAAGGCTGCTCCGTAGAGGACAAGAGAGGAGGTGGTGATGGGGATTCGGAGGGAGGGAGGAAGGGGGAGAGCGGCGGTAGATAAAGATGGATGGAACAAGGGGGCAGAGAAATGAGATTGGGGAGGAGGAAGAGGAGCGCAAGAGGGAGGAGAACTGGATGAGATAGGAATGATGAAGAGGGTCGGAGGTGACGAAGAGAGATGGTGACAGAGGGGAGCTAAATAAAAGGGGGGCAGGAGAAGCAGAGGGGCCGGTCAGCTTGTTTTAAAAAGGTGTGTGGTGGGGGGGAAAGGGGAGGCATTTCTTCAAAAGTGTGACCTCACGGCGCCATCTAGCTGCGTACCAGTACCATTAGACCTCTGTAACAGAGAATCACTCTGTGAGGAATAAAAAAAATGGTGCCAAGACAGTTGCTCAGTTTTCAGTGAACTTAATCAATTAATAGGTAATAAAAACAAGGTATTTTAGGAGGTGAATTGAAGTTGTACTACGTAACAACAAATGTTTCCTTCAAAAGTGTGTGTATTCATGATCTGTGGTATAAGGTAAAGTGTGTGTATTCATGATCTGTGGTATTACATCTGTGGTAGAGTTATCAGTGTTAAGGTGAAACTGTTTTAAATGATGGGTATGAAAATACAGAAAATCATGGAAATTATATATTAATGTAATTTCCTTCAAACCTACCTTTAGATTCTGTCCAACAGTTTCCAAAAACTGGCATCTATGTTTTTTCAAACTTTGTTTTCACTGTGTGAAACCTCTGCCACTGTGGAGCTCACTGGTGGAAACGAGCTGCTGTCTTCCCCTAAAACGTACAATACACTTGAAAGTGGTGTTGCCTTATTCTGTGTGTCTTTGTCACGTTCAACACAAAGTGTCCTCTCGGTGTCTTTCCGTCAGTCTCTCTGTCTTTCTTCTTGTGTTGGAATAAAAGGTGATCTATTCCTGTGGGTTTATAAGTGGTGTCCACATTTAAAATAAAACAAGTAGAAGAGATATATATTTGTGGTTTCATTTCACTGCTGCAGTAAAACACGGTGCTTTCCACAGTTTGTTAATGTACTTTTACTCTTATCAATACAGTATTGCATGAATTTTTTATAGGACAGTTTTAACAATTGCTTGCAAATGATCATTTACTGATGTTGATAATTATTATTTATTTATTTTTTTTTCATTTGTCTCTTGCTGCATTATCATTTGGCAAACACTTGAACAACACTGAAATCTAATGCCCAGACAGGCCCAGGCTGGCTGGACACCTTGACAGATCTTTTCAGGTAGCATGTGCGATTTATTATTTTTATTCTACTGCACACTGTTTGTTTAGTTATGAAAAATTTAGCACATTGCAACGAGCTTGTTCACATGTAGCATCTAAATCTGAATAAAAGGTGAAGACACAGCTAAGTGGATCTGCAATTGACATTGCAATTGACTGAGCAGTCGAGCACAGATCCACTGAGCTTTCAGAGAAATGTGCAAATAACTCCAGTAGACCAGCAAATTAAGAAAAAAAAAATCAGAGCGTGGGTCTGACACCAGCAACCAAAGTTACTTAATTAGTTTCTTTCCTATTCTAACGCTCAGCTAGAAATCCATATTATCCAAATCTACATACTGAAATTAGTTTAAAAAAGTTATTACATGTATTGCCACTAGATGGAGCTCTTTAACAAGGGTGATTTAAAGCCCTGCTTGAATCCGTTGAGTGCACCTCGATTCTAACATGACTTCATACTCTACTGGTAAACATAGATTATCACATTATTTTAAAAATAACTTTAAAACTAATCGGACTGGCCAAAGTGACTTCGTTTTTTAGATTCCAATTTATTCTTCTTTTGGTAAATATAGGTAAATATCTGTGGCAATGACGTCAGGAGTGGAAAGGCATCAATTCAAAGTTTGGGGTTGAGGGGAAAAAAATACAATATTTTACAGGTTAAAAAAATGTTGTTGTTCAGCTAAGCTAATATACCCCTCAGTGTGGAACAGAACGCACATAAATAGACTTGGGGTCAGGTACTGGGCCTGAGACTCCAAACTCCACTCCTTCTCCTGGCTGCCAATAGTTCCAAGGGACTATAGGGCTGTTGACAAGCACAATGCAATAAATCACCATGCTGAGGATTAATAGGAAAGAGCAAAGCGCCTGGGCTCACTATAGCTGATATGTATTTATTCTAGGTTTAAGAGCAATTCATCTCACTGTGTGTGTATGTGTGTATGTGTGTATGTGTGCGTATGTGAGCCTGAGGTGAATTCAACATGTCTATGCATACATTACCTCCCATGATGCCGGCACTATGGAGTGATTGCCCATGGGGCTGGAGTCAGTGTTTATCACAGGGAGTGTTTCAGCTGATCAAAGATTACCGTGGAGACAAAGCATGTCGTTCCTGTTTCCGTCAGGCCAGATAAGTTGTCACTGATGCTGTTGTTTTTCTGTTGCGTAACGTCAACGAGGGGCAAATTGTTTGCATGTCACAGAATCAGCGGGGCGCAAAAACGGATTCATTTAGAGTTGACTTCTTTAAAGCTGCCACTGTTCTCTATCCGCTTTTCAGGTCTCATCAGCAGACGGTAGTCATGTTGGCCCAGAACACAAGAGATAACACCTGTGGTTTCTAACATCTGATGTCTCCTTCAATAATGGCTAACAACAAACCACAGCAGGTCAACAGAACACCTGGGTGTAAAACCTGTGATACGTGTGTTGAGTTGATAAGTTTACTCCAAATAATAATAATTTTTTTTTTTACTTTTACTTTACTACTAAGCTCATTTTAAGGTAAAAATAAAGTAAAACCAGATCACTGCTGTTAGTGTTTAAATATTAAAAACACACATCTTTACCTGAAGTTGAAATAAGAAAACATCTCTGTAACATATACATAATTGTACTTTTGAGAACATAGACCATTTTCTTGCCCATTTTTCTTTTACATATATATATATATGTGTGTGTGTGTGTGTGTGTGTGTGTGTTAACTGCACAAATTTCCATTGTCATTGAAAGCAGTTGTTCAGAGTAGAGTTCATGGAGGGCCAACGTGAGTCTGGGTCAGGGTCCCAACAAACCTTGACAGGAGGTATTTGGAACTGCCCTCAGTTCTACCCGTGATCCATTTAATTTATTTTTTGCAGGATTCATTCACAAATACTATGGCCTTGAAATCACTCAAGTGTATGAATTTAAAAGTTAAAAAAAAAAAGCAGGATATAAATAATTCTTGTGAGACTAAAAAAAAAAAAAATAAAACAAAGGTAGCCTAACTGGGTTAAAGGGTTTAAACTGCCTGATGAGGTTTCGTCACGTTCTGTATGTAAGACCATTTGTAAGATTACTCTGTACACACAGGAGCTGTGATAGCATTAGCCTTATTGACAGCGGTTTCAGGCTGTCTCAGTGATTCATTGTGTGATACAGGCAGAGGAGCAGCATCCACTCCTGCCTGGATCCTGCCCCTCCCCCTCCCCTGTCTCCTCCTCCCCCAAAGCCCTCTCCCCCAAGGTGAATTCCCTGATTAAAGCTCCTCCCTTTACACCCTCTATTCCAAATTGTGCAGATGTTCTGTATGTGTATGTGTGTGTGTATGAAAGTGTATATTCCTGTGTGTACTTTTAAATGCACGTGGTTTTCCCTCTTGTGTAGCAGTCCTGTATAAGTGAATGTGGTTTTATGTGCAGCCTGTGTTCCTGTGAGTGTGACCACAGTACATGTAATGCTCATGTGTTGTGTTTTTCTTTTTTTTTTTTAGATTTTTTTTTTCTGTATTTGATTGTAGGTTATAGCTGTATTTGGACATGAAGTATTTTTTTTTAAACTGGTCTGTGTTACAAAATATTCAATAGTTGTTTTTTTTGTTTGTTTGTTTGTTTTTTTTGCCTACTTCTCATTCCATTTTTTGACCATCATGCATATATTCCTTAATCTTAATCTATGCAGAAATATGTGCAAAAATCCACATCCACTTGTAAATTGATGTTAATGTTGTGTAAGTGCATATAACCTGTGTTTATGTGTACACGTAGTACACATCAGTTTTATGACTCTGTGTCCCTGTGTGTCTGTGTGTTGCAGAGGTTATGTCTGAGATGGCCGGCCACCATGTGGAAGCCATTCAGACCTGGAGCGGTGGAGAACATGGAAGGTGAGGCCAGATGGTAGTGGTTATCCTTTGGCTGCTCCGGGTAACCTGACCTGCGAGGGAGGACCCGCTGCCTCCCAAGGACCGGCCGCCACATGTGTTGCGTGAGAGTAAGTCACCCAAAACTCAGGAACCGCCTCTCAGCTTCCTGGCTGCCTGTTCTCATAGCTGGGTCTGTTTTTTTAACAGAGGATCTAAAACAACAAACTCAAAACAGGATCAGACAGGAACAGTTCAGAGAGAGGACCATGAGGTCCTGTGAATATGTTGTGAAGAGGAATTTAGCCAACAGTATTCTTCCTCTGCAGTCTGTGCAGTGCTCAGCTCAATAATTTACAACATCATAATAGAACATTTTTACCTTTAGAAAACAATGACATCTACTCTTAACAAACAAAGAGTTGGTTCGATTTCAAGTATGACCAGGTGTGGTGTGTTGAGCCAGCATGTGCCAGTTTATATATGAGCAGAATACAATTTTCAATTTACTTGATCTTTCTCTTCTTCTTCTTTTTCTTCTTCTTCCTCTTCTTCTAACTGACAATCTTACTGTCCAATTAGATCACATCACTCTCATGTTCCTCACTTGTTGTTCACTTCCAAATACATTGTAGGAAACAGTAAACAGCTTGTTAAAACAAAACATCCTATAAAATGTTTTGAAAATATTTCATTGACATATTTTTTAAATTAGAGTTCATTATTTAATTATTTTATCTTTTGCGACTTTCCTTGTAAGAACAAAATGAAGGAATTTCTCTGAAAAAACTACTACAACAGAAATTGCAATGTTATTTTACCTTAATTTATATTAATATTAACAAGTACAGTAAATATAACAGGTCAAATCTTACCTCACCACAGGTATGTGACCACGTATTGGGACATCAACCAACATTTGAAAACACACCAGTTGAGTCTTTATTGTATTCCCTTTTGAAAATAGATGACGGAGGTCAACTTAAAATACAAAACACTTCAAATGTTATTCATAGTTAATGTCACACAGAAGATAAATAGAATTTGGCAAGAAATTTAGACACGTTCCATTAATATTCTACTCTTGCCCTTTTAATCAGCTCTCTTTTATGAGCAACAAACGCAATTTACTGTCATCCATTATAAGAAGAGCATTGTGCATAATGAAGAATGATTGCTGCATTTTTCTTGTAAAAATCATTGGTTTCTCAGTAGTTGCCAGCTAGGCCTCTAGATGGCAGTAAAGTCACA